CAAAGTGCCCATTGCCGCATATACTGCATGAGTGATTTGAGGGATACTGTCTACCTATCACAAGATAAACACCATGACGGATCCAAGATTTAGATAAATTGACCCTCGGAACATCTTGGGGGGGGGGGGGGGTCCCGGGGACATGCTCCCCTGGAAAATTTTGAAATTTAGGTCTTCGGAAAGGTAATTTCCGGCGTTTTAAAGGATATAATTCTGGTTTTTCCATGCCTTTGAAACAACCCCTGTTTTTCGCTATTTCAAACATGGATTACTCTTAAAAATTTACAAAAATCGAGAGCGATAACGAAAATAAATCTGAAACATCTAAATGCAAGAAGAGACTCTCCTCCATCAATGTTATTTTTTTCCTTTTCATCACAGTCTTTTCTCAAAGATATAATTTAGTGTTTGTTAGCGATGTATCAGTCTGCAGTAACCGCTTGCTTTTAAACGTATTCAATTCAGTTTAGGGGGTTCCAACAAACCACCCGAAACACCCCTGGGTCCGCCCAAGTAAACTGTTCCTCAACCCACCTCTGGCGAAGCGTCCGGTACTATAGTCTCCAGCGGGATAGGGGGCATTTCTGGGAAAACAATCTTGTTGTAGTCTGGTAGTTCCGTCATTCCCTATCACAGCGAAAATAGAAAAATAATGATTATTAAAGTACAGAAAAAAATACAAAGCATCATATTAAGAAATTGATCAGCGCCAACCATCACATACGCAACGTACTTCGGACATTTCGCAAGCGTTCCGGCTACAAAAGGGGTTGTCACTCAAAACACGCAAAAAAAAGAAGAATATATACGAAAATAAATAAAGAAGAGAAGGGAGAAAACAGAAGAACTCTTTTCCTTGTACAACTGGCTCGATCTTCATACTTTTCGTAGTAAATGCGCCCAATAAATGGTTCTCAAGATAGCCTTCAACACAGTCGCTGCCACTTCGTATGGCGAAGATCCTATGATGCGATGAAGCTTTCATATAGGCCATTTTTCACGCGGCGACCATGTTATATCCAAGGAGAGAAGAACTCTTTGGGTCGGTTATTTAAACGAAATGTAAGGCTCCGTCGACAAGTATCCGAATATTTTTGAATCCGCAACTTTTTCTTTCCGAATACAAAAATTTCCACGCCCACACATATCCGGAATCAAATCGAATACGCCCGTCCACACGTATCCAGATACTTTTGAATCCGCAATTTTTTCTTTGCTCGGACCGTCTTGAATACTCACGGTAAAGAGCTGGGCTCGATCTTGTGACGTTTAAAAAAATATCCGGATTTAGCGTCCACACGTTTCCGCATACATAGCGGATTCAAAAATTTCTACTCTGGAGGGCGGATTCAAAAAGTTGCGGATTCGTATGCCGGATTCACCGGATCGGTATGGACCGTACGGTAGCCGTATCCAGAAGAAAAAAATTGGCAGATTCAAAAATATCCGGATACGTGTGGACGGGGCCTAACTTAAGCCGCGTTTTAAGAAATCATTGGACCTCCACATCTCTTTCCTAGTGGTTTAATTTAAGTAAGAAAAAAAAATTGCTTTTCCAGTCTACGCTATATGCTTTATTGAAATTGTTCACGATAAATGGTTTTAGACAAAAGCGTTGGGCAAACTGAAAATGAAGGGTTTTAGCGTTTAGAACGCAGTTTTCTTGAACATGGGCATGACTCCGTATAAATAACTGGCCCTTTGTTACTACACATCTAAAATTGTTCTCAAGTTTTATGTAAAGTGGTAGTCACGTGAAAAAGGTCTATTATTGTACCTCCACTCAAAACTTTAGTAGGTAGAGGAGACTTAGATCACTGAAGGCGACAAACATCAAACGTGCTGCATTTTATGCTGAAAACTCCCTGATAGTGCACCATCCTTTGTGGTTGCTGAATAAGTTATTACGACGTTTTACTTGGTCAATAAGTGGGAACTTAAGCAGCAACGACTGCGACGGCTACGAAAACGTCACTTAAAATGTGAGGTCGCGCTCCTTCAAACCTTATCGCGCTTATTTCATCTTGTTCGATTCGTGATCGAAGTTCAGGAAAAGAAAAAGAAAGTCGATGTCTTGTGTTCACGTCCTCCACAAAACGTGAAATTAAAGCATTTTAACATCGTAGTCGTGCAGTGACGGCAAGGAAATGTACCAAAAAGCATGATACACGTGCAAAGTTGTTGTTTTGCCAATCTAACCTAATGCTTTTTTACCGTTGTCGTTGACGTCGCCGTCGTCGTTGCTTAGGCTCCCTCAGATCAAAATGATAGGAACGTTATTGAGCGTTATGCACCGTCAAGTCCACAAAGACATGTAACAAAGGGGAGACTGACGGGTTTCATTACCATACCACTCTCCCACCTATTATATTGTCAAAACCTTCTAAAATGATATCTGTCTTTAACCTCTGTCTATTACCTGCGTGGCAGGCGCCGTTTACTTTTTTTGGTAAAAGGTATAGAGCGCGCGAGGGAAACACGTGCGTGCGCACCTCCTCGCTATTTCTCCTTTTTTTATGTAAAATACCTTAACATATAAGAAGCTCTGTTAACAAAACTGCTTACCTGTCCTGGCCTGGGAGTCCCAAGCACCCTCAGAACACAATACAGCTGCGCAATATCACTTTCACCCTAAAACACCAACACCCATAAACACCCTCGCAATACGATCACTTATAGGTTATAACTGAAAAAGACTGCAGCTGACCACTCCAGAAAATACCATAACATACCATAATGCTCTTTGTTTATCACCCCAAAATTTTGCATAAGAATTGTCTTCCGTTTAGAGCTCTTGTGAGTTAAAATGGCCGCAAGAGAAACTGAAAACAAAGCTTATGCAAAATTTTGGGGTGACAAACAAAGAGCATTATGGTATGTTATGGTATTTTCTGGAGTGGTCAACTGGTTTCTCATTTTTCTCTCGGATAGTTAAGCATGTGAAACACGTGATCGCGCTTGAAAATTGCCACCCCCGAAGAGGGTTTCAAAAGAATAAAGAAAATAGTGTGCGCTAGCGAATATCGTTCTCTCAACTATCCCTGAGGAAAATGATCGACTATTCGTAGCCTACAATAGAAGATATAATATATAAAACCCTGGAAACTTGTCGTGCTTAACTATCCGTATGGTTGCAATAAAATCAAACCTCCCGTAAGCGACCACCCAAAAATGCAAGATTTAGGGGCTGTTTACATGACACCGGGGCGACTTTCGCGCCGGAGTGAGTTCACTCCGGTTCCCTCTCATGGCTCTATATTTGTTTACATGATACCACCACAAAATGTCATGCCAGCGCGAGTGACCCCGGCGTGAGTTCACCCCGGTTGTTGTCTTTCTCCTGCTCTATATTCCAAATTTGTGAAACATGACAATTTCTCTAAGCTAAATGCTTCAGACAACACGGCTACAGAAACAATTTCCGCTTTCCGTTTTGGTCTTTATTGACTCTTTAGTTGAACCTGCTTTACAAGACGCCGGTGGCTATACGATTTACCGCCAAATTAACCTCGAGTTGCATTTGGGTTGCCATACCTGTTGATTGAGTTATTTTACATTCGTATGTCTGTGGTGCGGACGGACGGTCGCTCGGTCGGTGTACGGATTTTTCGGATGGGTAGATTACTTCATTTTCTTACCCACGGTGCTCCGCTATAAATAAAAACTGTCACCTCGAATCGTGGTCCCTATCGCTCAAGACAGTTGGTCGCTTACGAGAGATTCTAACTACAGACAGCGCTATTACTAGGAAAGTTTTCGTGTTTGGGAAAGATAAGAGTTTATGGAAGGGGGTGCTTACAAGAAGATATCGCACATGGAGGTCCGGCTGAATACAACTTTTTGAGGACTTTCCGGGGGGAAAAGGTCACAGCAATTATGATAAATGCGCAGCCGCTCTTACTGTCTTTGATGTTCCTCTACGCAAAAAAAAATGAATGTTCTTGGAGAAGGATAGCGTTACGAGTATTAGCACTGTAAAGCCACAGGTTATTACAAGAAAGAGATTATGCAGGTTAGTTGTGTAGTGACTCACCGGAAACAGAGGTGAGTTGTTAAGAAGTTCTCCAAATATGCAACCAACCGCCCTAGAGAAAACAATAGAAAACAACAGAATGGGTTACGTGATAAAATAACATGCTAGGAACGGATGCCTGTACATTGTACAATTCAGAAGTAATATAAAACTCGGGTAACTGAAATTCCGTCAAACAGCTAGGGATTTTTTTAGAGCTATTTTTTCTTTCCTTTTTTTTATGAAATGGGCGTCACCTGCTGGGAGTCACCCTCCGAATAGGCCATTCTAACGATGACGACAGTTGACTACCAACTACCAGAATTCACATTTTTGCTTTCTTATTTAAATTTTTCAATCCCACTGAGGATTAAAGAACAATAGCCTTAATTTGCACAGAAAACAACAAACTGAAGAATTCTGGTACTTGTAGTAAAATGACGTCATCGTGCAATTGTCTTATTGCGGTCGTTTCGCGCGAAAGTCGATACGCCCGACGGCGTTCGCTGTGACATTAGGCGATTCGCCCGATGACATACAACACTCTAAAACACGGTGAACATACCTTTCGAGACGTTATTTTTAGTTACCCTTGGATTTCACATGTGCGGTGAAGGTATCTCCATGCTTAGTCCCTTTTTTTCAGGCTTAAAGAACGACAAATACGCTTCGGGAGAATCGAGTCTGAGCGAACTGCTAGTCGGGCGAACCGACCTTCGGCCGAAACCACCTTCCTAGTAGCTGGGGAAGGTCCCCAGCCCCCACCCTTAATGACAGCCCAGACATGTACAGAGCTAGAGAAGAGCTAAGGCAAAGGCTAGATTTACATTGTCATGTAAAGAAAACGACTTTTACCAGAGATCCACTCCTTCATCATATAGTCTTGCTCCATAAAGCAGCTCAGGAGCCCTGTACCACCTGCACAGATAAACAATAAACGCTTTCATTCCAGAACAGGATCAACATCAAGTTTCTCCTGACAATATAAGTACATAGACATGAGAAAAAATTATGAGAATTAACAAAATGATCATTCAAGGGAAAATAATTTGATCTTTAAACAAATTCTCTTACGGAAATATATGGCCAGATCAGTCTAAAGGATTTGTGTTTGGATAATTGGGCTTTAAAGGGTAAAGAAAAACAACACTGGGTCTGTTATTTTAACGAAGTCTAACTTAGACTGCGGTAAGAAATGTTTGGACCTCCAGATCTCTTCTTTAGTGGGTCAGTTTAAGAAGATATGTGCTTTTCTAGCCTACTCTATATGCGTTAGTGAAACTGCTCACGGCAAATGGTGCTTCTAAGATAAAAGCATTGGGCCAACTGAAAATGACTCAGAACGCGGTTTTGTTATACACTGGTTAAATTCCGTTCAAATAACCGGTCCACTGAGTTTACAGAAAGCATTTGCTCCCGTCATGTTCTCAAATAACTCAATTTTAGCTTTTTTTATTTTATCAGCTTTCTCAACCTCCCTTACACTGTTGTTTTTTGGAATTTCCTTCAAGTGTTTTTGTGTCCATTTTTTTTTAGTTTATAATCAGTTAATCAACAGATTCACAATAAGAAAGCAAACTTTGCTGAGGACTCCACCAATAAGAATCAAACTTGCCATCCTGCAGCATCATCACCACCACAATCTGTGTCTTCTAATTATATCACAACAACCTCAAATTTGGCTCTGTGGAGCTCTAAACTACTGAAATTCAGGGTAACCAGCATATGATCTGTATGAAAAAAACTAAGATTTTCTAGTCACCCAAGAGCAAAAGTTGGGCACCAGGAGCCACCAGTCCAGATGCTACTGGAGCACAGAGCAGCTTAAACAATAAAGAGCCTACAGTGATGAAGAATGTGTAGTTTCAAAAAATATCCATACCCCTTCTCCCCCCCCCCCCAGAGGGCACATTTGTCTATCCCCCCCCACCCCCCCGCCATATCCCCTCCCAACTTGCCACATCCCCAGCCCTTCCCCGCCCCTCCGCCGCCTTCACAACATTCAACCACTCATCGCCCTGTCTCTACTCATACCGGAGCACAGAGCGAGTTAAACAAAAAAGTGCCTACTGTGATCAAGAATGTGTAGTTTCAAAAAATATCCATCCCCCTTCCCCCCCCCCCCACAGAGGGCACTTTTGGTTTACACCCCCCACCCCCCTGGAATTTCCATTCCAAATTGGGCAACTGCCCATGCTTCTTCCCTACTCTTGGACAATGAATACCTTGTAGCAACCTGGTGGCTATATTGCCTGTTCCCCTCATTCCGAAACACTCTTGCAAGGCCAAAATCAGCGATCTTTAGATGTCCAGTCGAACTAATCAGTAAGTTGGCAGGTTTTAAGTCCTTCAGGAAGGAAAGAAAAGCAATAAGATACATTTTAAAAAAAAAAGAAGTTATAAATAATATCATGAAATGGCTTTCGTGCCCTAAGTAGTGTGAACTGTCTTGAATTTGGGGAAAGAGGCTACACTTATCTTGCACCCACATAAGTTTGGATTTGTCTTATATAACTAACAAAATAAAGTTAATTAACCATAAAGTACATATCGGTTTATGTAGACTGTATACATTGTACACTCTTTATACAGTGTGAAAAATAATTAAATTAATTATTTTTCTGCAGGGTGAGAAATAGCCTGAAATTCATCCGATTGCTTCGAGTCGTTTTCTCCTCTCAACAATGTCTGAATTGACCGGCCGTTAATGCCGTCCAGTGACGTCACTCACTACCCGAAAACCGGGTACTGATTTTGAATGGTTGATTGTCTAAACAATCGCATAATTATGTATAATTATGAAAAATTTTAGCGGGATTGTCGCTTGATATTCAGCGGATCGCATCCCCGGCATTCTTTCGTTTAGTTCAAACATTTCGATAAGCTTAATCTTTATCTTAAACAGCAAAATTGCCCTTGTCTTTGAAACTGAAATGCTAAATTGAACTGCGAATGAAGAATCATTGCGGAGAGTCAGTAGGTTTTTCATTTAGAGCCACTTTGTGGTTTCAGCGGCCGGTGATTTTGTTTACGCGAAGTTTTCTGAGATCAATGTAAAAATTCGACCTTCTTGCTTTTTTACCATCAAGTGTAATGATTCTGTTAGCTTTTCTTTCTTGTCTCCTTGTTTTTTTTCTTCGTTAATTAAAGCAAATCACTGTGTTTTTGAACTAAGTGTTCTGTGTGTGTGTTTATTTCATTTACGTGATTGCGACCGAGTTTGATTATAGAATTTAGTACAATGGGTTCAGAGTTGTACTGTATGCAGTTGATAGTTTGCACGTTAAACATGAATTACAATCGAAAAAAATAAAGCAGTTCTGTATCATGCAGACATTTCCAAATGATATTTCTCGGTTTGCCACTTGAAAATCGTGTTTTACTTTTTGCACGAATCAAAGCAAAGGTCAAGGAGTAGTGACGTCACTGGACGGCATTAATAGCCAGTCGATTCAGACGTTACTGAGGGAGTAATAACGACTCAAGGTAATCAGATGAAATTCAGGCTAGGTGAGAGTAAGCAGTACTATAAAAAGTAGTAATCAATTTCACTCTGGCCATTTTCTCAATTAACACAAGTCATTTCAGAGACTGTTCTTACCCTGTGCATTATAGAGTTTTCATGACAAAAGACTACACCTTTAAGCAACATCAACATGTAACTTTTAATCTGAGCCTAAAAGACAAGAAAAAATTCAAGAAAGAATCAAAATAACAACCTGTAATGTTAACAAATCACTGGCAAGTTGACAACTTTTGCATATATAATCAGGTTCCAGTTCAGTAAACATACAATATTCTAACCTCAGTTAATGGCCTGGTTGAATTGCGCAGAACTTCAGACAAATCAGAGAGCATGTACTCAAAAACCAAGACAAACCCAGTGCCATATGGAAAAACATCAATTAACTTGACAACCTAGTGGGAGCCAAAGCATGCCACAAATAATCAGTAGAGTGTAAACTACCAGTAGCCTCAAGACAGTCAGGTATACATACACTGGAAGCTCTCGTTAGCAGACACCCTTTGGCTTGGTGTTTGGCAATACATGTGGTCTTTTCAAATGTAACCAGATGTGTATATGTACACGTATGGGATAAAAACAAACAAACAGACAAACAAACACACACTGAAACTGGTGTAAATTCATGGTGACAAACAGTGATTTCAAATTTTAGTGTGTCAAGTTTTAGAGTGTCCGCTTGTGGGAGCATACAATGTAGAAACAAGCCAAAATCTAACTCATAAACTCCGAAAGTGTCTGCGGCCACTGATGGGAATGTTTGGTTACAGGGATGTAGAAATACAGAGTTTGTATGAGGGTTGAAATGGGTTTTGTGAAGGGGGTTCCACTGTATTTTTGAATTACTGAAAGGCCACAATTAAGTTACTTCAATGAACCAGCTGTTTTGACATACAGTGTAATTGCTTTGTTTTTGATTATCCATTAATTATTTTTAAGGACCATACTTAAAAATTAATGGATATCCAAAAACAAAGCAATTAAATCAAAATAAAATGTCCTACTCACATTTTGATTGTCTTCTATTTCCTGGAGTGCTTTTATTTCCCTAAATTATTTTATGAACAAATGAGAATGGAAGAAGTCAGTGTAAAAGTACGCAGTGTATGCAAAAATTCCATTTTTATTCATTCAAATTTTTTCTTCATTTCTGATTGGCTCAAACCCCCCGATAATTCTTCCTAAACAGCTGCAACTAGTTGTAAAAGTACTTGAGACACTGTATTGTATTTTGGCATAAATGGCCTGTCCATGATCTTGCACTTGTGATGCCCCCTCCACCCCTTATCAAAGTTGCTAGCTATACAAGACCATCACTATGCTCAAAACTTGGAGAAACAACTTTGAATGGGAGGGAGGAGAGAGGACATTATATTTATCTCACAGACCTGAACCTGACTAGCAGCGATTTAAAGTATGAAAGGTCATTTCTTCAAGGGAGGGTCTCAACATTTTGCAACTGGTTGTAGCACTGCCCAACTTAATTTGGAAGACATTTGCAATTGAAATGATGTCAATATGTATAGTACACGATTTGACAGAAAAAGGCAGGGATGTAGCTGATATTTTTAGTCAAACAGGCTTTTTCTACTCAACTGCAACTTCAATATTACCCGACACCTTTGTTTTCCAGTGCATTAATTTAAGCCAGAGATAAGGTCTTTTTCAGCTTATGAAATTAACTGGCAGCAGGCTGTAGCGACGTCTACCAGTTTTTGGTGCAGCTGAAGAAAATAGCATCAAATTTCCCAGGTATCACATGACGATTGTTACAATTTTATGAACCTTAGAGCAGTGTTTGGTATTCCATCTTCCAGCTTTCTCAAGGGAACTTTCTTCAAAGCAACAACTTCTCCGCTCTAAGGAAGAGAAATTAGCATTCTCGTTTCAATAGTACCATTATTTAGCCATTGACTTGCACTAAAATACCATTTGCTGTAAACTGAAGGAAATGATCTAAAATGACTGAATCGAATAACCGCTAAAAATCGTGTTAAGACTATACTCAAATCAACTGATTGCCAGAACTAGTCCAAATCCCCAGCTAACTAGAGCCTGGAAACAAAGTCTCAGGCGATTTTAACTATGATTATCTCACCTCGATATGTTTTGCTTTAAAAACAATACCATGAGCTCCTTCGCCAATGTTTCCAAGAATTGTATACTGACCACAGTGTCCCATGACAACAGTAAACGCGCGTTCATACAATCAACTGTTTCACGATGTTGCGAAGCAAAATCTTCGGTAGAAAAATTGCTTTTGCAAGAAACATTTCATTATTTCTTGAATTTATAACTGGCAAGAGGATATTGGAATAAACGGTGAGAAACAAAAAAGGCAAGACAAATTGTTCAAAACGTCGCCATTTTGGATGAACGAAAACGACTGGGGCAAAGTAGAAATGCAATGCAGTCGGCCAGCAGATTTGATAAGAAATACATGCGTAATGCTCAGTGTAACGTTGTCACGTCTTGTGTTTGTAGTGTGTCGTTAGGTTGAGCGCTCGAAGCATTGTGAAGATAACTAAATGCTGAATGGAGTTGTGTTATTTTACAACCTCCAAGTGTTCCTTAAGTTTTCAAGCTGAGAAATGCTCGCGCTCTCGGATGCCTTGATTTGTGTACGTGTAATTGTAGTGTTTTTCAGGTGAAACTCCATCTCGTTCTAAGTCGTTCGTCGTTCACGCTGTATACATGTGTTACATCTCTCTGTGTTACATCTCTCTTTCAGACATTTGTATTTTTGTTTTTCACTAATGAGTTTCCATGTTGCTGTCATTTTTGTAGTTCTATGTATGTAGTTCTGTGTTGCTGCCGGGGATGATCAAAGGCGAACCAGTAATTATCAGTGGTGACCACTAGAGTCTGAGGCAGCCTTTTCCAATTTCCATAATCACGTACAAATGGGCCTTTTTAAGCTATGCCGAGGGAAGTGGTTTATGAAACGAATGCGCTGTGTAGATTGCGTTAGCGGTAGCCGTTAGAGAAAATGTATCAGAACCGCTAAAATTGGGCCTGATCTCAGGTTAGTTTGAGTGTTGCGTGACCTGAACGTTGCTGCCTGCGTATCGCGAGGATCGCAGGGAAGGAAAATAAGCTACAGGGCCAAAGAAAAAAACATTATTATTATTATTATTATTATTATTATTATTATTATTATTATTATTATTATTATTATTATTATTAGTTATCAAAAATACAATTTACATCATTTCACTCCTCACGGGAGATATGAACTCAATAAATTGACCTCGCTCCCAATGTGTGGCTTCATATATAGCTCAGTTGGTAGAGCAACGCACCGGTAACGCGGAGGTCACGGGTTCGAATCCCGTTGAAGCCCTGATTTTTTTCAGGCTTCTTCTTTCCAGTTGCTTAAATTGGAAAATTTACCGCGATGATCATTCTTCACTTTCATCTACAACCGCAGTTCAAAAATGAATTATTTCATATATACTTCACATCAAAGATACAATTGGCAACCTATTTTCCATTCTCGTCCCCAGAGCCCGTCGTTTCTTCGTCACGTGGGTGTTACAAATTATGCCGAGTGGCTCTGGGGGTGAGAATGCCTATTTTCCAAATCGAACTATTAAAAATAAAAGTCTGGTTTCTTTTTTTGCCTTCCTCAAAATGCAATTCTGAAAATAAGGCATTTTCAGCCAGCGACTGATTCCATGAAACTAGAAATAGAGAACTCAACGGAACACTTTAAATATTACGCCCAATCTTATTTCCATTAAGTCCTGTATACTTTGCGCATCTTTTAAATTATTATTAATCAGTGTTGTGA